ACGGCCGGATCAGCAGCGTGCTTCGGGAGATGTTGCTGCTAACGTCAGAAATGCATTTTCAGTGGAAAGGCGCTACACAAATACCTGGGCAGCGACATCTGAAATCCAGGTTGTGCTTGGGCTCATCTCAGCTTGGACGCCGCACCCATTCCTCTGTAGCTTGTGGGGCTGAGATGCCCGGAGCAGACTTCCTTCCTTCCACACTGATAACTAAAAACTCACCCAGCTCTACCTTACATTGCCTAGAATGAGCCTTAATTGGTTGGAAATGACCTGGATATGGGGGAGCTCGATTAAAGTCCAGGCTGCACATGACAACACATTTATAATATTTTTTCCAAGGCAGGCAAGTACTGCCTGTATCGGATGCAGGTGTTAAAGCAGTTTTTGGTTTGAAAGGCCAGTGCGGCACAAGTTCTGGCCTTTGGGAGAGTGACAAGTGTTTTGCCTGCATAAACAAAATATTTTTTCCCCCCGAGGCCCACGCACACCTAGTTTCCCTTAAGCTCATCATCTCTGTCAGGTTAATCAATAGGCACCGTATGGCAGAGGGTCAGTAATCAGTGTCATCGTGCCTTTAAATCGTGTTGAAAATTTGCTTAAAGCCTGGGCCAATTAACATCGAGATGATGAATGGATGGGTAGATGGGAAGAGCCTGGCGCTCAGGGGCTTTGTGAGAAGGAGATGCTCAGCTGTTGAGCAGCAGACACCAGCGAATAAAATCAGCCATTCATGTGAGCTCAGTCCACCCACTCTTAATGATAATGTCAATCTAGCAAAATATATACACATTGGAGTTGTCATGAGTTCATAAATCAAAGGAGTTTGTCAAAGGCATTCAGATTAACGAGGCAGCAGCAATAACAAGTCAAATTTGCATAGAGAATTGCCCGAATCTCAGTAAATTATGATCCTGTTTTTCATTTGATTATTTGCTAATGTCTCAAGAGGGAGAATGATTATATTAGCATGCAAAATCTACTCCAGAAGTAGAAATCGGAGGTATAGCAGACCAGCACACGATGACAATTAATCAGTTTCTGCATACTAGCATAAATGCGCAAGGCCCAGAAATGAACTCCTCTTTTTTATTATTATTTCTCCTTGCTACTGATCCAAATGGTTCAGCTTGACAGAGACTTTATATTGCTTTAACAGTGTTCTGAATTGTGCCTGCAGGCAAGACATAGTTATGCAGCTATAACCAACCTATCCATCTGCCAACCAGATTGGAATTCTCCTATCCAAGGCTTCCATTAACCCCTACTGACAGCTCCAAACAGGATTAAGAATTTGAAAGCATAAAAAATAGTCGTGCTCCTTGCATAGACGCATGGTGCTCCCCCACCTCCCCACGTTTGCAAAAGGGCTGGGTCTGTACTGGTTTATAATCAGTGCTAGGCAACGCGGCACCAGAGACAGCCTCCGTTGTTGGGGCTTCCACCAGCCCTGTCCAGTGGGTAGCCCCTGACTTATCCGTGCACCCACATTTGCTTGGGTGGGCTCTACACAGAGCGTACTGCTTGCCATCACGCGTCCGAGACTTTCCCGACGGGTCTCGGCGTGCGGTATAACACAGTGTATTTGATGCGGCAGGGGCTGGATGTTAGTAAAAAATAAAAATAAAAAATTGTGGTGGTCACTGAGATGCAATGTGCCATGGGATGGCATCCTGGTAGCTACAGGCTGATTCCAGGTGAGGTTGAAAAGGAGCCCCCCATAGCAGACAGCTCTCATTTTAGGGCAGATGAACTACGGAAGGCAAAACCGCTTTGCGTCGGCCTCTGACAGGAAGGTGAAGGAGGACACCTAAAGGCTAAAGTGGGTTCAGGAGTCGGGGCGTCTGCCTTCCCTTCCACTGACATTGTGCGACCTTGTGTAAATCCAGTAGCCTCTCTGCATCCTACCTATGAACGCGGCAGTCTGAATCTCTCAGAAGCGCCCTGAGCTTCCTCTGTGAGCTTCAGAGGAAAGTGTGCAATTCTTTGCTACGCCTGTAGAAGATACGAAGAACAGACCATCTCTTGCGCTGGTTTTAGTTTCCCATGAAGCGGCGATGAAATCCCAGAATTTGCCCCAGTTGCAAGAGAGGTGGTGCACGGTTTTGGCCTCGCCCCCTCCACCCGAATAGATGTCTAGTGCCTGCATCAGCCACAGTCGCTGCGAGCCATCAGTATTTCTTTTTAGTTGGTCTAATAAAAGATAGCACATCTACCCAAACAACTTTGCCTGCCAGTATTTCTAATATGCCCCGGCTTAATATCCAGCCACCAAATGCTCCATTCTAGAGCTGTGCCGCAAAGCGTATTTTGATAGCCGCTAGAGGGTGCCCAGAGCAGTTCCCCTTTTGTCTTCCTCCCTCCCTGGCTCCAGGCATCTCTCATGTCATGCTGAAGCAAAGCTCAGACTGATGCCCCAAAAGATTTGGGGGGTGTAGGGGGCAAGAGGAAATGCAGGTAGGTGTCCTTTTCCTGACATCTGGTACAGCAAGTCTACCTTTGACACCGAAGGCTGAATGACTCTGATGCAGATACGGTTACTTCTGAAGTATTCGGAGGCTCACAGTGCACCTGCATTGATGCTTTTCCTGTCCCTGAGAAACGAGGGGGAGTTCTTAACATCTGGGCTTTGTTTCTTGAGCGTGATCACGCTTCCCAGTCATTCCGTCTTCACCAAGCGGAACTTCCTCGCCGGCAAAAGTGCACGAACAGCGCTCCTCTTTAATAGTCTGCGATCGGAGCTGCTGCGTTGGTGCCGTGGGATGGTGGGGCGCCAAGCTGTGAGCCACCATATGCACTTGGCAGTCTTTGTCTGGTCTTTGTTCAGCCAACCTTTTAGCCTTGCCACCTATAAAGATAATGAATGCAAAAGGGTCTTCTGCTTGCCTTTAACATGAGACGTTCAGCTTCACAAAACGGGGAAAACTTGCCGCGTGGAGATGAGAAGGAATTTCAAAACACGGGCGGATGATGCACCTTCACCACCGTGTTTCTTGGCTTTTGATGCTTTAAATCGTGGGAGACGCTGGATGGTGGTTGGAGGGGCAAAGACGGGGCGAGATTTTTCTTTAAAGAATGACTTTGGGAGGGAGGGAATGATTTTTGAAGTTTGCCACGAGGAGGAAATTGAACATTAAAAAATTCGTGTTAAAATAGTTTAAGAGCGAGCTTCCTAGAAGTGCATCATCATTATTGCAGATTCGTTTCTCTTTAATCTCCCCCCCCCCCCCCCCCCCCCCCAACTCCCAACCCCCCCCCCCCCCCTCGCCCCCCAATATTCCTGCATTAATGGCTTGCTAAACTGTACTGACAGGTGCGGAAAAGCAGCCTGCGCGCCTCTGCTTCCTTTTTTTCTATTTTTTTTTTTTTGCACACACAGGGTTTTCACCTGGGTTTTCATCGCTCCGTCTGAGCCAGATTTCATCTGACTTACTCCTAGCTGAAGCCTTGCATGAAAACTTTCAAAGCCTCGCCTCTTCTAGCAATTTATCAGGCCTGTTTATGATTGATTTCCGTTACAAAACCCTGGCTTCAGCATCCCAGATGTCATAGTGCCTTGCGCGTTCTTTATCTTGTAAACTCGCTAGTTGGCTTGCAAACCCTGATTTACCTGGAATCCCTGGGAATGATTTATGCCATCCCGAGAGGTTTTTTGGTTGTATTTTTTTTTCCTTTGTCTTCCCTTTCTGAGAAGACTGCGTGTGCACTTGCCTTGCCTCCTTGGTGATCTCTTCCTCCCCTTCGACAAAGCCACCAACCTTTGAGCTGCTTGGATCCAAATTGCACCTGCAGCGGGCATCTGCTCCGCTGAGGGCTTCCCTGCTGTTCACACTGCTCTCTGCTTGTAGGGTACCAGCTCCTCCTTTCCCTGCAGATGCAGCCCTGAAGTCCATCACTGAGGTGCAAGCTTTTTGAAGCATCTAGTGTGCCGGGAGTACGCGAGGAGAGGAGTTCTGGGAGTCGGGGCTGAGTGCGGGTGCAGCCTCTATCATCAAATCCTTTCCTTATCCCATCTGCATCACCTCTACCCCCTTGCACAACACCCCCAAACAAAGATTTAAGCAGGGCAGAATATCCTGAGCCTATGCACACTGTGGAAACAGAGCGAGCGGATGGATCCCTGTGTTCTAGCATCGCTTGTATGGCCAACGTGGGGAATAGTCCTCCCACCCCAGTCATTGTTAACTGAACATGTGCCGAAGGCAGATCATGTCCTTTGAAAAGCTGTCGAGCATCACTCTATGGCAAGTATTTGTGGTTTTAGTGTGAGCAGGGCAGAAGTCTCTCGGCGGGCTTTCTGAACCCCAGCCAGGAGCATTGTCTAGAGACACCATAGGCCCTCCTTTTCTTTCCTTTCCATCTCATCTTCCCTACCAGTGGCAGTGGTGTTTAACACTATAGGATCCCAATCATGTGCTTCTGGAGAGAGGTGGAGATGCATCAGTGATGGGTCTAGTGCTCTCACGAAATTTCTGGTGACCCGATTCACCAAAACATAGAGGCACGCCCACGAAAGTAGAGCTTTGGCTGGCCACTGGATTCCCCACGATCCGTTAACGTTCAGCCTACCGTCAGGTGTCGTAATATAAGGCGGGATTGCATTTTATTAGCAATCTTTTGTTTCTTTTAAAGAAAAAAGGATCTGTTGAACACCTGCTATTGCAGGGAATTCAGAAACAGATGTTGCTGTACCACATCAGGCCGTCAGTTCACCACCTCTGGCATCCCACTGCCAACAGCGGCCTGGTACGGATTACCTCGGAAAAAAGCCAGAGCAACCAGACTTCTCCACTCTGTCGGCCAAATGGTGCAATGTTACATCAAGCAGGAAAAATGTTCTCAGCCACAACAAGCCATTTGGCTTACAAGTACAAGTTAGCCTCAGGTGCATGCATGCGTAGAATAACCCAGCTTGAGTAGCTACAAATACTCCGTTCCCTTTCCTCCCGCAGAATCGTACTGGGGATACGAACTGAATTAAAGCTTACTTTCTTTCACAGAATTCCTCTGAGAGAGAAGACTGTAGTAATGACGAGCCCCCTAGGAAGATCATTCCAGAGAAGAATTCACTTAGACAGGTATGCAATCAGTCTCTTTAAAAATACAGTAAAACTTTCTAGCTACTTGGATCTTAAAACACTTTGGGAAGCTACAGCTTGATTTTTAACTGGCAAACATGTCATGCTCAAGCATCTGAAAGTCCTTTCTTTACCTTCCTTGGCAGCATGAGCGTGCACAAAACAATGTACCTGGGAAAATCAAACACACAAGTTGGGCTTTCATAAATATGAAGAGTGATGACTCTATCGGAGGAAACCAACCTGCTCTGTGGAGCACTATCAACTGTGACTTGGTAGCTGAACTTTCTTTACTTGCTATTCATCAAGAACACTCCAGCCTTGTCTTGTAGCAATCCTCCTTTCTCCTTCACAGTACGCTTTGCCTTCCCATGAGACTTTGCCTCCAAGAATCTCAAGCAGTTAAGCTTCATACCACCTGAGACAAGTAGATTTTCTTGGAGACGCTGTCTGGGCTGATCACCTAAAAATAGCTCTGTTTTAATTTCCCTCTAAAATAAGTTCCTGTGAATGAAAACCTGGACAGCAGCAGGGAAAACATTTCATGCAATCCCTTTTATATATAAAAGCAAATTCCTTTCCATGTTAATTGAAGCTCTTTGGAGTAGGAAGTATATCTTCCTCTATGCACTATGCATTCCTGAACACTGTGGGGTTCAAGAAATAAATGCCACAGTGCCTTTTAAAGAGAGGGAATCCTGAACTCTCTCTTCTTTCCTCGCTCCAAAAAAAGGATGATTTACCTATTGCAATCAAAAGAGCCATTTTAGGGATTCCCCCATCTTGGCTTAGCAAGAAAGAGAGGCCTTTTAAACTAGCCTCCCTGTGCATGAGGTTAATTTTACAGTGTGTATTAAGCACTTTGATGTTACGGTAGTGGGTGCAGTGTAAATACCTTGGTCTGGATAAGGGTCCAACCCTTCCAGTCATAGGTGTTTTAAGGAAAATTATTTCATTAAAAAATACCTCTTTTCCCAGACCTCAGCAGAAGGGTCTACTCATCCTGTGTCAAATGTACAGCCACCAGAAGTTGGGGTTGTGCCTAGGAGAGCAGCCGGCCACAGAATCCGGGGCCCTTGGGCTCTGGTGGACCTGGCAGCTGGTGGCAGGAGGGTGAGCGAGCGCTGATACAGTCCCGGTCATCCCCCAGCTGCTTTGCCTGTTGGCACTGCTGCAACCCTACCTCCTGCTGCTGTCCCCATGCAGGAGCTGCCACGTGTCCCAGTTAAAGCTGTCACTACAGAACATAGCAGTGGCCGTGGCAGCTCTGGGTCTGGCGTGGGGCACGCAGCCAGAGCTGTGCAGTGTGCCCCGTGCCAGAGCTGCTACCACCGCACACCCAGGGCACTGGATCCCTGCAAGGAACCCTGCAGCCTGGATCTGGCTTGGGCCCAAGGTGAGCTTTTCGCCCCTGCTGTAGATCATGGTGCAGCTGCATCCTGTCTTCCATGGTGTGAGGATGTACTATCCTGCCCAGAAGGGACATGAGCCTAGCATGTTGCTTTTTTCATCTGCTTACCCCTTTCTGTTGTTAGCTAGTTCCCTAACCTCCTGCCCTTATCATGGTATTGCCCCATTTTTCTTCTGTGCAGGAGGTTGCACGGGTGCCAACAGCCATTTTGCAGCTTTGGGGTCAGAGTTAGACTTGCCCGTGGTGGGCAAAGCTGTCTGGGTTCCACCAGAGAACTTCCTAGTTGAGTTCTGAAATCTCAGTTGTAAGCAGCCTTTTCCAGGCTGTCCTGCTAGTCCGACACAGCGATAAGAGGAGCAAAGATTTACCATCTCGCCAATCTCCTATTAGGGACTTCCACATCTCCTACAACCTGCTGGATGCTTAGTCACAAGCTGTAAGACTGCAATCAGACGCACGCATACTTGTAACAAGGATTGAATTCCCGGCTTGTACTGAGAAGCTGAGAAACCAAAGATAATGAGCATCACGGCAGAACATGGAACGTGTGTGGGCCGATGCAACAGAGATGGTTTCCCAAGCGAAGTCTTTGCTTGTACAAAGAAGTCAGCAAGACCTCACCTTAGACCAGTCCACTTGAAAGCAAGGCTAGATAGCCCACTTGTCCAGGGAGCACAGAATTGGCTGTCCACTTCATCAGATAAATGGGTCCTGAAGGTTGAAAGAAGTGATCGGATACCTCCAGTACAGGTTGATGGCCTGCCTAATCGCCAGAACACTAGCTTAGGAGCAGGAAGCCATCAAATGCCTCCCAAGAGTATGGTCTGGAGCCCTCGTAAGACAGAGGCAGGAGTTGCGGTCCATTCTTTTTGTTCCCAACAGGATCAGGAGGGGAAAGGGCCTGAAGCTTTTGGGGAATGAGGACAGTGCATTGTACTCTAGAAGGCTGTCCCCGAGGAGGACTTAGCCTTGTTAAGTCAAGGTAGCGTCTGCATATCTCAGTATGGAGAGCCAACCGTGTGCTCCTCGCAGCAGGCAAGGCCAGTCACAGCATTGAGTTTCCACAGGCTCAGGTGCCACAAAGCCAGTGGTGCAGGCAGCAGAAGTCTGGCAAAAAGGAAGCCTTCTGGGAAGATGCTGGATGAATCAATAAAGCAGCATCTCTAGCTAATCCTCCTGGGATCTATAAGAACAGGCATGAGACCTGATTCTAGTTTGAGATGCTCTTCTGACGAAGCATGAAGGCAGGTGCTACCATTTCTTTTCAACGCTAATCATTTGACCAGGATCAGGAACTTAAGGCAGGAGCTCAGAGCTCTGCCTTGTATTACTGCCGCCAGCGCGTACGATCCACATGGGGCTGGTCCTCCTTTGAGCAGGGGTGGACTAAGGTGACCTCCTGAGGTCCCTTCAGTCCTCATTTTCTATCATTTAAAACCCCAGGCTCTATTCAACCATAGCCCAGTACCTGGGGTGTTGAGAAGATGGCTCTGTGGCAGAGTCAGGTCCTTCTTCCGTAAGTCGCAGGGAATTGTTACCATCCTCTTGACCAAAGCCCTTGTGCCGATGAGAAGCTTGATCCACCACAGTGATTCTCAACCAGGGTGCTGGGGGTGGTGTGAGGTCTTTTGGAGGGTGCCATGAGGTGAGCATTTCGGGACCGTGAACATACTTGCCGTCTTAAGCCATTAGTGAGGGCACAAAAGTGTTCAAGGCTTTCAGTCTAGGTGCAGCCCAAGGCAGGCAAGCTGCAGTTGTGTGCCGTTCTCCCCCCCGACATTAAGGCATGGTGAATCGAATGCAGCAATGGCTTGCGTTTGGGAAGGATCGGATGCTTAGGGACCTACTTAATTCACAGCTCAGTGGATTTCACGGAAATAGCGAAATCCAGCATTGTCTGCAAAATCAACAACCAAAAAACCCTCAATAAAAACAAACCGCTGGCTCCCCGGTGGGGGAAGGCGCTGGGTGGCGGGGCGGCACGAAGAGCAGCAAACAAGATGGCAGCTGCCCCCTCATCCCTCCTCCCCCCGGGGGGGCCTCTGCACCAATCAGTGCCGAGACGCAGGTCCTCTCCACCAATCAAAATAATGCAAAATAACGATGGAATTAGAGCTTTACGCCACAATCAACCCGCAAAAATTGGTACGTCCCCCTGCGCTTTAGGTAGCTGTATGCTTCTTGCATAAATAGGTAGATTTATGCTTCATCTTTCCATTGCACCGGTGTAAAATGCTGGAGTTTGGACCCGCGTGCGTGGCACAGAGAAGTAGCTCCTCACCGGGAGGACGTTGCATCTGCAGACAGGGTGCTCGTCGCGCTGCTGCTCTTCTCCTCCTCGGCGACACCGCTCTTTTCAGATTGCAGTCTTGGAGAGACGGACCTGCGCGACCAGTCCTCTTGGCCGAAAGGGACTCGATAAAAGAGGTGTACCTCTAGGGATGTGAACAGAGGTAGGGTGGGTGCCCGGCAAACCTGGACAGGAGTGGGCCATCTCAAGGGTCTGTCGTGGTGGTAGACATGGCGACTGGCACAAGAGACGGAAACAGAAGGAGATGGGGAACGTGGCATTGTTGGCTGGGCTGTTATGGAGGGCATTGAAGCAAGGATGAGAAGGTTTTACTCTTGAGAGCTGTCTGCTACGGTAAAATAAAACGTTGGGGTGTAAACCGGCAGCCCTGGTATAACAACAGCCCTTGGAAAAAACAATGACAAGTGGCAAAAGTTTTTGGCAACTTTATTTAAGCTAACAAACGAATTTTCACACTGCAAAGTTATAAATTAATTTTAATAGGCTGATCCAGATGGTCCATTTGGAAAATGGATAGCTTGATCTGTTGAAAATTAAACTAAATTTATCTCTCTCATACTTCAAACTGAAGTAAGCGTGAGAAGAGTGCCCATTAAGTCCAGCACATACAGATGGACCGGCAGGTCACACATGGGACTAATCTGATTCATTTTAAAAATAAATGCATGAGTTATTGAATCAGGTTGCCGTCTCCAGCCCTGTGTGTGTGCGTGTGCGCGCAGCCCTTTCAAAGGGACTCACAAATGCTTCAGTGCCTTTTTAACCTGTGTGTTTCCATTTGAATTCAACTTCCTTGCCAAAAAACGTAATTAGTTTTCAGTGCCTATCATTTAGCGTTAGACCCAAATGCTAGATTGATTAGGTCAGGCATTTGTTATTTTAAGGGCTACGTCGCCATCCTTCATTTATGAAGAACATGAGCTCAATAGTCTTGGGGAGCGAGCTGGCCTTTAGAAACTGGGAAGGGGAAGCTCTCTGGGGGCCCCTCAAGCCTTTTAGCTCCTGGGTGTTTTAAACAGAGCCATGAATGCAGATTTGTAAATTTATTGCGGTGCCATCTGTTTTTTTTGCAAGAACCGTATTATTGTTGGCTTGTATCTGTCTATTGTGGTGGTCAGTCCCCGGGAGCTTGCCCCCATCGGCCGAAGGAGAGTGATGAATAGCGGGGGTCAACACGAGTAGGTCACAGGGCAGCTGTCCGGGGCTGCCCTGAACTTGATTACCCCACCGGTTTTTAAAGGCGAGAGGCACAATGCAGCTTGTTTAAAAATCGCCCCT